AGTAGCAGCAGTCGCAGTAGCAGCAGTAGCAGCAGGAGTAGTAGTAGTAGTCGTCGTCGTCGTCGTCGTCGTCGCCGTCGTCGTTGTTGTTGGCGGCAGCAGCAGCAGCAGCAGCAGCAGCTGCAGCTAGTAAGATAGAGAAGCTAAAGATAAAGAAGATGACTACCATGCAAATATGGAAAATCCTTCCAATCAATGATACCGTCACACTTGACTTTTTTCATCTCACTTGCGCTGTGCACGCCGGCGGCTTGCCCACTCAGCTTCCTCCTGCGCCCACCTTTCAGGGAAGCTTAGGATTTGGGGTCTTTGGCTTTGCAACATTGCAGGTTGAGGAGTCATGGGACTTAGGGTTCAAGGTCGAGGCCCGAAAGCTCCTGGATTATGGAAAAAGGACTCCAAGCAGGATTGAAAGCAAAGGTCCAAAGATCCCTTCCCTCACACTCTCTGGCAAAGCTTTCGCGGGCCACTTGTTCACGCCGGAGCCCTAACCCTTAAGTCTTGATCTAGGAATGAACTGCTGTGACTTGAACCATGTAACAACTCTGCGGAATTTCTCACACGGAGGTCTCTCAAAATCATAGGTCCTTCAGCTTGTTGTACGGAGGCAGCGTGAAATGATGCATCCTACTGGTCGACTGCAAGCTCATGTGCAATCATAATAATCCCAATAAAAATTATCAGCATGTCTGTTCAGGGTTGCATGGAAAATTCAGATTGGAAGACATCAACCTCTTGTGCCAACAAGGTACTCAATTCATTGCAGTTAAAGCGCAGCCAGAAGGAATATCGCAGACAATCCAGCCCCAATCTTCGACGCCTTAACCCTGAACCTTTGAACATGAACACCCCAAGCCCTAACCACAGAGAGCTTCAAGACCCAGAGTGAAAAGACAAGGTACGCCCCCCAACACATGCTATAGCTGCTTTTTTTTGAGGGTCTCCTAAACAGATCATCCTGAAACCAGGCACACAAAAGGCACCCCTCATACCATGAGGATTGGCAGAACTGTTAGGAGACGTACTTCCAGGGAGAGACTCGTACTTCAAAACACTGCCACCCAAACCCTAAAACCCTCTCTGGCCTGGCAGCCTCCTTTCTACGTTCGATCTCCGCGGTGCGGCGGAACTCCTGCAGAGACGTTTGGCTGAGAATTGGGTTGTAACGGGCTTGGTAGCATTGGGGCCTTCGAGGTTTAGAGGTTGGGGAGTTTGGGGTTTGCAAAGTTAAGTTCTAGCGTGTTAAGAGTAAGCGATCAGGCTCTAGCACAGAATGTCTTCCTTACTTCGTTAGTCTAGGGCCGCCATTTCAACAGCTTAAAAAAAACGAGTAGTGAGTAGAGGAGCTGCGATCCTGCAGCCCTGACCTCGCATCCTTCTTCACAGGCTGGGGGGCGCTTTCTAATTTGGATGCTGCCGTCATATTATGGTGCACGCAAGGGAGTTTGTCAGAATGATGCTTCTTTCATCCCTCTTACAACCAGTCCCTGATGTTTCAAAAGTGCCAACCTACCTGCCGTGGAGCCCTACAAAGTCCTCCTTCACAGAACAGCTCTCTACAAGGATCTACGAGGCACCTTTTCAGGTTCCTTTTGTTCCAGTGTTTGTACCACCTGTGCCGGTCACATGTTGGTGCATGTGCAAGTGCATCGTATCCACAGGAAGCCCTGTGCAAGCTTTCCCCCGAGAGGTGAAACGGGTGAGATCTCATATCCTGGCTTCTCATACTACTGCTGATGCTACCCTAGGACTGGTTTATGTGGAGACCCATGAGTTGGAAATGTTAAAAGTATAACACCATCACCAACGACACCGCCATCACGACAACTACTACTTCTTCTCGATCCACTCCTACTGCTGCTGATGCTGCTGCTCCTCCTGCTGCTGCTGTAGCAGCTGCTACTGCTGCTGCACTGCCATTGCTACTGCTACTGCCCGGGCTGCTACCACTACTACTACCACCACGAACACCAGCATGATGAGCATCATCACTACTAACAGGATCATCAGGGCTTCTAAGCCACAACCTCTAGGTACTTAATGCCCGAAGCATGCAACTTGCGAAGACAGGCTCCTCATGACTGCGAATTCGCTGGTCTTCCGTGGCACCGTCAATCGGCTGAGCGCGCGCAGATATTTTGGAGGGACTTCTGGGGAGCGACCCAAAAGGCCAGGCTGTCCATGTACAGATTCCGGCAGGCATGCTGAGCTGTAAAGAAACTTTCCGATAGGACTTCTCACCGCAGAAGCAAGCTTACGTGGAAGGGCTGCGGTCTGAGCCCCATGTATCTCAGTGCTTGTGGTACCAGAGCTCTTATTAATCAAGCATCAGAGAAGAACCCCTCTCACTGCCGACTGTCTGAGCCCAGGTACACTTGCTGGACCCTTTTTCAATCGCATCCTTTGTTTGGACCACGAACACACAGCCAGCACCAACTGTGCTGGGATCCCAACAGACAAAGGCCCGAACAGCCTTGGAGTGTCCTTCCGTAATCAGGACTCAAACCCCGTCCGAGAAGGGGTGGCAAAGCCGCAGAGAGGCCTACTTGCGAGAAATCAAAGTTATGCGATGATGCTGGGTAGTAAGGCACTCTCAAAAAAAGAACCCTGCATGTTGACCAACCCGCAGATGCGACATTCAACGTCCATGTGCTCCCGATGTACCTCTCAATTCTTCACTATTCTTCACTAGAGACCAAAGCCTACCGTGATGAACCTAAATCACAGCCATCCTCGTGAATCCGAAACCTACAATGACAACGGTGTGGCTGGGACCTGTATCTCCTTGCAGAAGTGCCATAAATTTAAGTACTCAGGCCCTGTTTGGGGAATTTACCTCCTCAACGGTCTGAACGACCTGAAATGTCGAAGAAAAAAGCAAAGTCGATACTGGCCTCTGCCTCAGCAATTTTGCGGTGCATGTCAGCCTGTTTGGATTCCATGTCTTGGGCTTAGTGCTCTAAGGATCGAAAACAGATTCTCTTGAGAATCCCTTTTCTCCGCGAAGTAGTGATGGATGGGTTCAGTCTGAATTTTGAGTAAGCTTTGAGGTTTCCTGGCCTTCGGGAGCCCTCCGGAGCCAAAGCTTCAGGAAAAATACGGCGCCTCAAAACCCAGAGCAAAGATTAGAAGTGCATTTCTGAACCAAGCGGCCAATCATCTTTGGAGAGAAATGCTGGAAAGTAGCCTGAGAGTAATATGAATCCTGGATATATGAGAGTGGATTTGGCCCTCATAAACGGGCAAACAACCCGTTTCTGCAAGGCCAAGGCCCCTATGCAGACTTATTCTCTCCACCCAAGCAACCAGAAGACTCTTAGATTTACCCCACAACCTCAACTGACACCAAACATGGGTACCTGATCAACAACTATCCAGTCCGAGCCACAAGAGCTTACAGAAGGAAAAACTCCTGATGCAAGTCTTGCTGTATTGACTACATCTGACATTGACCTTGCATTGGAGATCCTGAACCCCACAGCATGATTCCCACTGTCTAACACATGCTCCGTACCGCAAGAAGCCCACCCCACAAACCACCCAGGTCTTCAGACACCCAGATGACGAACAGTCAACACCCCTACACTGGCTCCAACAAACACGGAGCTTGAAATTCGGCAGTCTACGCCACTCTTCAGAATCCACGCCTGGACTCACCTAAAACCCGTAGACCCTACGCCTAAGAACCCACATCCGAATTCTCAACCCTGGCATGGATTGAGCCTGGTACTGCTTGAAGACCGAACGCTGCACAGGTCCCAGACCAGCCTTTAGAAGGACTTGCCACACAAGAGGGAAAGCAAGTGTAAGGATGCAAGGGTTGGGGTCTAGAGATTGAGCTGAGTGGATTAAGGCCTGAGGCCTGAGGATTCAGATTCTAGAAGTTCCGGGCCGCTTGCAAGCGAACTGGCTTGAAGTGCACATGGGGGTTGCGGAAAACCAAAATCAGCATTGCAAACCGAGGTCATTGCATGTTTGGGCTACGCACAAACTTCGAAGATATAACTCGAGATTGTTGAACTTGAAGCTCAGACAGAAAGTGCCAGGGCATGCTTCGCAACACAAATCATGTTGGAGCATAGAATTGCTAACTAGTCCGCTCCTTGTATCCCGGCATGGTCACGAAAGTGTTGAGCACGGCGTATCCCGAGAAGCCTAGCACGTACATCACTAAAGGCACGCTCTTGAAGCTGAAATCCTAACCCTGAGGCTGGAAGCGTGGCCCCAGGCTTATGGTTGAGGAGCTTGAATACTCTAACTAGCATTGTACATGCCCAAGGTAGCCATCTATCTACATGAACTTCGGAAATGCTGCGAATGTTGTCTTCGAACGTTTTAGCTGGATGTTCTAGCATGGACAAGGGTTTTGGAACCCCGCGTGCATCAACACTAGTGTCGTACCAGGACAGCCCAAGGCGGTCGACAATTGTAATGACCCACCAACCTAGCGTTAGGCCAATCCCCCCAAGGACCTTCTTCGCGGATGGCGCTGGCTTGGTGCCCTGTGTATAACCACCTCCCGCACTGTTGCCAGAACCTGCAAATGGTGGATTTGGCTTGCAAGAGTAAAGGTTTCTTCCAAACCGACACCACAAAAGTCGGCCAGCCACAAAGAGCAACAGAACAGTGGATGCCGAAAGACTCCCCAAGTCCAGAATGGACTCTGTAGTCACTCCTTACAGCTGTAACATAGACCCCAAACCTCAATTTTCCAAGTTCCCGAAACTTCGCTTGCTTAAAAGGGCCCCAAATCCTCAACCCTGAACCCTGCAAAAAGACCGAACCTGAATCCTGATGCCTCCAGCCAGGCCACGAACCCATATCCCGGAACCGAGCAAAGCCCTGCACTCCTCCTACATATCCCCCTTCTTTAACCAAGACCCACCTCAACCTCAAAAGCTGAACACCAAACTCAAAGGATCTCAGTCTTAAGCAAGCCTGGACCCTAAATTAGCAGGGTTTCAGGATGGGTCTTGGCTTCTGACATTTCTTAACGGAATTCCTGCCTGTACACCAAAACCCAATCCACTCCTAAACCCTCAACCCTAAACGCTGAACCTAGGACCCACAACGATTAAAGACCCTAAAAAAACAAACGCAACCCTGCCTAACGCGCTAACCGTGCCTGCACCCCGGTGCCTCAGCGCAACTGCCAGTGCTGTGAGGACACTGCCAGGGCCTTCGAGCCTCATATCCAAGCCCAAGATCGCAGGCTTCATGTTTGGCAATTCGTGAGGTTTAGGATTTATAGGGGCATCATCATACCTTCCCGAATGAGGACCTCCAAAAACGTGCACAAAGGTTGGGAGGTTCAAATGCTAAAATTTCGCCTGTCGGGGAATCCGGCACATACATCCTAACAGGTAGCTATCCCGGACTGAAAGGCTCGCAAAGTTGAAGCGTGAGCTTGTTACAGAGCGCTGCAAGGATCCTTCTCCTTAGCCCTATGGCTTGGAGGCTTTGACATCTTCATGCAGCAAGCATGGTGAGAACCTCGATGACTGCTACCAAACGCTCGAAGTCCAGTATGGTGGTCAGACGTCATGTTCAGAAGTTGGGCTTGGACAAGCGAGGATCATTCCTCTTGGCTTTGGAATTTGGGCCAGGTGTCGGGCAGCGGGTTTTTGCCTTCAAGCTTTCACCGAAGCCTTGCGAATTTGGAGCTAAGTCACCGTAATGCAAGGAGCTGCACTGCAGGTGGGGTAGATTAATGGCCTGTGTCTGGCATCAGAATAAACTTAAACAAGCCCAAAAACATGAAGATCAAATCTTGCCTCCGTTTGCGGGACAACCACTTTCTGCAGCGACACCGTAAGCTCCCCAAAATGTAGTTCACCAATCCTGGGATCTCACTGACCTCACTACACTACATGAAAAAGCATAACGTCGCAATTGGTTGGAAAGTTCAACCCCCCATCGGCCATCCTTCTCGCATATCAGCCATAGCATGTTGAGTATCTGCTGGTTTCCGTGCATACAGAGTCAAGACGGGCTATTCAGACTCCTGCAATAACACCTTGTAACAGCTGGGTTCAGAACTTGACCACTACTGGCACAAACGGCAATGCATCTGTCCTTGCATTCAGCGTCCTGGCATCGAGTGTCGTGGGCATCTGCGTTCAAGAGCAGGCATTGGTTGAAAGATAAGTAGAGAGTGGATTTCTCAAAATGTGGGTTCTCTCGTCAAGCCCCAACATCTGGATCCCCTTAATGACAAACCCACAATCAAAGCCGAAACTGCGGGAAGCTCCCCACAGAAGAGCTTCCCAAAACCAGAGATCTCTCGAGAATCGCACTGTTGATCGGGTTATTGCTCTGATGTACTTTTGGTGCTGGTAGTCCCGTAGCTTCAGAAAACAGTGACGCCAAGCGGGATCTTAATTGTATGCGTGAATACATGTAACTTACACATGCAGCTCATCTCAGGCCACCTGATAACGAAGCACTGCGCGACAGCTACTGACTGGAGGCCAAGCTTGCAAAAGATTATGCGATGCCTATCATACACAGTTCCTCTTGCGTGGGGGGATGTTTCAAAGTAACAACTGCTAAAACAAAGTCTCCACCGATTGCCTCTGGCAAGTCATGATCCGACTCTTCACGGAGGCCTTCAGAAATGGGCCCATGATGTTGAGAAAACCGCGTAGTGCCTTTGTAAATGCACACAACAGCCTCATCCCCAAACCTGCTCGCACAACTGAGTAGTCTTTGGGTCAGCACCCAGTGTCCCGGTGTCCTGTAGCCACGCTCTGCCGGAGCCAGAAAGCGGAGCCGCGTGGCGTACGGGACGCCTAGACTTTTGCAAGCTCAGGTGTTTGGCGTGCATAGCTCAGGGTTTAGTTGGGCACAATGTGGATGGTCCTGAAGCTTGGATGTTAGCAATTCGTTATGGATCATCATAGTTTGTATACAGCTGCCAGTTTGGCCTAAATTTATTGCGCTTGCACCCTGACGTGGCGTTGCAACAATAGTCCTTGATGTTTCTGACATCAAGTGTAAGTGTCCTGCCCAAATCCTGCTCCCATTTCTTCATGACCTGCAGCAGCTTGGGAGATGGTGGTAAAGGTTAAAGACCTAAAACAGGACATCAAGACTCCAGGGCCAATTCAAGGCAAAAAGCTGGGAAGCTGGCTGTTTGTGGTGTCAAGTCCGCATTGGGACATCGCATGCAGAAGACCTGACCAATAATTTTGGCAACGCCCATTAGGAGAGTTGTCCTGCGCCCCATAACAGTAGCATCTTACCCCCTGTTGCGATTCCCATTATCCCAGCTTGGAATCCTCTTCACCTGATGGAAAAAACACAACATGCTGCTTCAGGGCTTCAAGTTGAGCAGAATAAGTGTAAGCTTGATTTCTAGACATTCTTCCTGCTGATTCAACCCTCCAACTGATCCGTTTTTCAGGTCTAGGGCCCAGGAAATTGTTAAATGATTCAATCGAAGAATGCAGTCGATCCGCCTGAAACACAAATCGTGCACAAGCAGGGTCTCACATTTGTTCATGTCGAGTAGGCACCATAGGGCAATTACCACCCGCATAACCTTCTCCCCCACCGAGCGAATCCCCCCACTGACAAATATGGCTTCCCTGATGTGGAAGAATGCAAACCTTCCAACATGATCAAAACCTTCCTGGCCACAAAAAACCTCATGCCCATGGCCGAAATGCACCCATTGCTCCAGCCGTGCTCAGCAAGTAATTCTTGTTGGGACTCAGCCGCATACTTCACCCTGAATGTCAAAGCTCACCTGGCACCACGGGCTTGATTTGGCTTGAAACCAAAAAATGATGACGGGGTTCTGTGCTCAAAAAATTTGGATCAATCGCATTTCTTCAGATGGTTGGCTCGTGCAGGTTTGGATGCTGTTCCACAGGCAGTCTTAACGGAACGAGTTGTTGCACAACTTAAAGCGAACGCACTAAAGTTCAGATGTTACCGTGACTCCCGAAATGGTTTTCGATAACTTGCTTAAGCCAGGACACCTGAAGCATCGCAAGAAACATCCATGACGGTAACATATCAGGCCTGGATCATTGTCGTAATGAGCGAACCTTGCAACAACACTCTTCCTGCCACGATTCCCCCGCACGATGGAGTCCCGAACAAATGCAAGTGAGAAACTCCGTCCACATGCTTGCCTGATGCCTATAAGCCCAGCGAATCGTTCTGAACTCCAAACGTGGTTCATACTGTTGACAAGCACCCAACTAATTGGTCAACCAGTGGCCTCCATGGGACTGGGATCCTTATTCTCCAGGTCGTCCAAACTCAGCGGCTGGGTTAAGCATTTTGGCTTTGGGGCTAAGAGATCAAAATTAAAGGTTGCCGCCCGTGCAAGGCTTTGGGTCTTGGAGCGTGCACCCTGGGGACTGTTTGCTTCACAGGAGGAACACTGACAAAAGTTATCAGCACCAATAGCCCACAAATCAAACAATGCCAGTACCTACCAACATCGCAGATGCTTTTGACACGAAGAGCATGAACTGTCCCCAACAATCCCCCCCCGCCCCCGGCCTTGGAAGCAGCACCAATGTACCAAAGATGCTGGGGGTTCAACGTGCCAAGCTCAACGTTGACTTCGACATTGAAACCACATTATGTGTAAACAATGCAAAAACAAATCGACACACCCGACCAGGATTCCCAACAATGGGTTGATTTTCCGGATAAACAAATTTCTTGTTTGATCACCGAACCTCAAATGGTAACCCACAAGACATGTAGATGCAAAATCCTGCAAGTTTTCGGCGTACTGCCCATGCCCCAACGGGTTCGAACATCTGTTCACACAATCCTGACCAAACCTGATAACAAATCGAGGGCGGTCCGCTGTGGGGCCTGAGTTTCAAATCAGTTCTGGGAAACTTCAAACCGATGAATTATGACAGGAATAAAAACCAAAGATCCCCACAAACCCAAAAAGGTCGACCAAAATTAGGAACAAGGAAACGCCCAATCTCCCGCACCCGTTGCAAGTAGATGGCAGCTGGGGCAGGTTCTCAAACATATTCGGCCTTCTGCAAATGGCAGCTGCGGCAGTCGAACTCTCAGATGCACGGTGGTCTGACCCACACAGATGATTCAGTAGATATGTGACCCTAATCATAATTCCAAATGCATATTCAATTGACAAAACTAGTGTGAGAAACGAACTCTGTCAAGCACCAGTCAAAGCTAGCCTTGCATGAAATGAGAACTGGAGCAAACAGATAGCAAAATGTTGAACCAGACCTTGTATCCTGCTTTGGACCAAAACGCACGAACAAGGAATGGCGACATAGCATTGTGCACGGCAAGCATGGAACAAGTCTGTGCAAGCATTCCGCCAACATTCCATTTACCTCGAAATGCTGAACTTAACACGGAACGTGTAGACGAATGCAATCCTAACACATCCATGCTTTGCAATAATTAAGTGAATTCTAGCAATCGCTGTCCCAAAGGTTGGCCACAGATTTGGCCTGATAAAGTTTTTCCAAATTCAAACATCTCATAATTTTTACTGACTTCATGCTTCAATCTTATAATATATCAAACTTTCAGTCAATCATTCAAATCACTCATTCAAAGAAGTATGTCAAAATTTCATTCATCAAATCACGCAAGAACGCATAGCCGAAGCGCACTCTCTCTTTTTCTCTTGCGTGGCCACTGCCAACTGGGGAGATTCGCACGTGTGCATCCAAACCTATGCCACCTTCGCGGCTACGGCTACAGGTTAGAAAATTCACTCACCCCCGAAAGTTTGGGTGGGAAGCGTCGGAAAAACTTTCAATTCTGGGCGGCAGATCACTCAGCAGCAACGGAGGCATGCAAACCAAGGAAAACTGTTGTTGCTGCTATTGTTGATGCTGCTGTAAAACTGTAGTCAGATTCCCACATGAAAATGAAACATGAAATGGTTTTCGAAAACTCGTTTTAAAAACCCATCAAATAGATTATAAAACCAAACGGGATTCGTCCCAAAAGGCGCTTATAACTTTTATTGACGTCATGCTTCAATCTTATAATATATCAAACTTTGAGTCAATCATTCAAATCACTCATTCAAAGAAGTATGTCAAAATTTCATTCATCAAATCACGCAAAAACGCATAGCCGAAGCGCACTCTCTCTTTTTCTCTTGCGTGGCCACTGCCAACTGGGGAGATTCACACGTGTGCCTCCAAACCTATGCCACCTTC